ACAATGCTGCGTTAATAATTAATTTAATTCATATAATTCTTTTAATTCAAAGAGAAATATCTTGTCAAATACGATTGTTCTTTTGTATATTCAATCATCCCTTTTAAAAGAAAACTCTAAAATATTTTTTCTTAATATTTCAGAACTATAAGGAAAATTAAATCATTATCCTTCCCCTGCTGCCTTTAACTAAAAATGACTGTGCACTGTGATTGTTCATTAGATTTCCAGAGAAGTACCTGTATAAAAATTCAATGAACATGACGTGAGAGAGTTGTTGGCGTGTTGTGGAGGGCAATAGGCTTCCAGCTTCGCTCTCATCTTTTTAGTTGTACAGAGCTTTTAATCTTTCCACTTGATGCACAAGTGTCAAATATCCAGTTTATTTCTGTTTTATTGATATATACAGTCGTGAGAAGTAGGGACTTCTCTTTTTATTAAACCTTCAACATCAGATCTCAATACTAATATTTCGAGATTATGTGCCAAGGTGTATTACAATGACTAAATAAGGACAATATGTAGCACATAGAAAGGTAAAGAAAAAAATGAATACAGTAAAAAGAATGTTTCCCTCAATATTACTATTCCAAAAGTGCTCTTCACCAAAAAAAGTTTTGAAGAATGGATAACTCTTAACATAGACCTGTTGCACTCATAGAAGAATAGAGACTTCCAGGGTGGGGCCCTCTAACAGCAAAAGCCGATCACCCTGTGTCACACACCTGACCTTGGAGTCACCAGCAGGGCTCCCATCTGCAGACCTCAGTGTTCGAGGGAGTATCCACATAATGTTTTAAGTTTACATACCCTGGTAAGAGGTTAGGTTATTTTTTCTTTTATCGAAGTACTTTAAGATTGTTCAGTTTACCTCAAGTCCACTTTTGGGTTTTAAAATGCAGCCAAGACTGAGAGGCTCAGGACATGACCGGGCTTAAATGTAAAGCGGAGTTCAATGCCAAAACAGATAATGGAGAGGTAAAAATAGAACAGGAAAAGATTATATAAAATTATGATATGGAAATGTATAGAAAATGCCGTTTGCATTTTTGTTATGGAAGATGATAATAATGAGAATATTTTCTAAACTCTTACTCTTACTTGCGGTACTTCAGTGTTGAAGTGGCCCTCCTATGAGACGATAACACCAGCAGTGTCCCCAAGCCGATCTGACTTTGAGACCCCTGCCTTAAGACTTGTGTTTCTGTGTATTTTTGATTGCAGTGTTACTGTAAGCTGTCAGCGTCTCCACAGTGAACTAATCAAGACAACTCTGGGAGTTTACTCCACATGATGAATTCAGGTTTTGTCATTCCAACAGCCATGTAGTAATAATGTTTTAAAAAAAGGAAACAATTTCAGGACACTACATGTTACATTCAAAATGTATGACTACTAATTGGATGAGGTCTACTGTGCATTCCTGGGTGAGCTGGTCAGACAGTCAGTCCATATAGGGCTCGTCTGAACTGAGCGGGGCAGGAATGTAGGGAGCAGCCTTCCTGTAACGGGAACTATTCGGAGAGGATTTAGCCTCGGAATCTTAAACTTGCAAGGAACTGCTCCTGTTTACGCCGTAAATGTGTTTGTCAGAGCTGAGATACTGCGGCCGTGTGTCATCGAGGCAGAAGAATCTGCAGGTTTTCACTCCAGGCAATCTGTGCAGCAGGTTATTTCAGTGACAACACACACACAAACACACACAACTCATGTGCAGCAGGTTATTTCAGTGACAACACACACACACACACCCTCCTTTGGTTGCAGATGTGCAAATCAGTGACATCAGCTGGAGACTCCAGGGCCAGGATGACATGAACATACAGTATGTGACCACCAAAATGAAGTGCAGTATGTGTAGATCAGAACATCTCACCCTAATGTAATTGTTGAATGCGTAATTGCAACAGGAGCATTGAGGAAAAAAGAAGCAGGTTTACCCAAACTGTTGCCACAAAGTTGGAAACACAGTACTCGCCTGAAATATCAAAGCTTTTGGAACAAAGAGGGTTGTTGCAGTTACAGCATGTGGTCAGTGAAATGTAATGGCTTTAGTACAGTTAGAGATTTAGTGAAAGCATGTTGATGGTCAGTTATAGCTGCCATTTTAAAAACCCCATTGACACAAACAGATAAAGTGAAGACAAACAATCGTCATTAACGTACGTGTATGTTGGGAAGTATTCAAGAGAATTTGTAGTGTAGTAAATTACAAGATGTGTTTCACATACATCCTGCCAGTTTCCTTCCAGTTTTAAAGTGTATTTACAGTAGACTCTTATTTCCAATGAAGTATACTTCTTAACAATTACTGTTATCTTTTATCTATTATCATCTTTGATAATGACTTTCATTGTAAAGAATTAGAATTAGCTTTAATGGCCAAGTATGTGCACACATACAAGGAATCTAACTCTGGTTTTAAGCTCTCAATTTTACACACAGCTCAAAAAACAAGTAGGATAGAAATAAGAGAGCGAAAAACAACAACTAAGCTGAACCAAGATAATTCTATTTTTACCTTTTAGAAATATATTTGTATATATAGCATTGCTGAACAATCCTGCCACAACTTTTTATTAACTTTTAAATGGACATATTATAAGGTTTAGGGGTTTAAACAGCCAAAGTTTTCAAAGTGACTAGACCTAAATCCTTACATTAGGCTCCCAGACAGCATACCATCAGTCCTAACTGATTCAAAAGAGCAATAAATACTAACAGAAAATACATTCACCAAGACCGGCACAGGTTTTATTTAAACAAACAGTCTCTCTGCAGAGGGAATTTTTTGGGGGGGAAATTTTACAAAAACACTAAAAAATTCTTATTAAATGTACAACATACACAAAATACATTTTTCTTCTTAAATACGAATAGCAAAAAATATAGTAGATTTAATGGCTTCAGAATAAAAGTCCACAAATTTATTCAACTACAGAGAATAAGTGCGGATGACGACACCCAGAGGGACGGAAGACGGGATTTGGTATCAATCCAAAATGTCTTTTGGCGGTGCTGGGTGACGTCTTCATTCAGGATTCATTTTCAGGTCCCTTAGCTTCCAGCTCAAAGCAACCAAACAGTCACTGTGTCCAGAATAAAGAACCTTATAGGCTTTTACATGGGGGCTTAAATTTTGTGCAACATCAAGACATCCAACAACCAGGTTGGAAATGAAAATACATCATCAATGCTCTGATCAATAACTGCTGGTGTGATCTCCTTCACTTCACTCTACATTGTCAGAGGTGTAGTTATGGCATTAGTAAGTCCATGTGTGTCTATCGCAGGGCCGCACAGCAAGGACGTGTCCTGCAGGAGGGACACCAACTCAACAGGCCCAGGTGGACCGGTCTGATTCTGTGCAGGCCCTCTGAGGGATTCAGGCTCCCTGCGCTTTTTACACACCACTTTCTTTGTTTCGTTGTAACCCGTTAGCCTGGAAGCAAGAGATCTTTTGGGTTTCGTCTTCCTCAGCTTCTTCCTCTCCGGGCTGTGGACGACGCTGTGACGGTGGAGGCTCTGTCTCATGGCGAAGGTCTTGCCGCAGCCTGCGTGGGTGCAGCTGAAGGGCCGCAGCTCCTCGTGGAAGGAGCCGATGTGGCTCTCCAGGTTGAAAGTCGTGGTGAACGACCGGTCGCAGTCGTCCCTCGGGCACCTGAAGACCACTCGCATCTCGGAGTGGACGTGCTGATGCTGCTGCAGGAACCAGGAGTCCCTGAAGACCTTGCTGCACTGGTCGCACTTCACGGTGAGCCTATGCTGCTCCTTCCTGTGCTTCAGGTACTCCGTCCAGGTCTTCCCCGTGAAGCTGCAGCCCTCCTCCTTGCAGGGGTACCCTCTGTGCACCTTCTCGTGTCGCTTCAGCTTGCTGGGGAAGGTGAATCGCATGTGGCATCCTTCGTAAGTGCACTGGTACGGTGGCAGCTGGGTGTGCTGCTCACACACGTGGGACTTGAGCTGCTTGTTCTTCTTGAACTCCAGACCGCAGCCCTCGAACTTGCAAGCATACCTCTTCTGCTCCTGCGTGTGAATGCGGCTGATGTGCCTGGCCCGGTTGGTGTTGGTGGTGAAGGCCTCCTCGCAGCCGTCCACGGTGCACTGAAAGGGTTTCACGCCGCTGTGGCTGAGATCATGTCGGGCCAAGTGGTAGGGACTGCAGAAGGACTTACCGCAGCCGTCGCGCTCACACGTGTACGGCTTCAGTCCGGTGTGTTTGCACAAGTGGGCGTCCAGCTTCCACTGTTTGTTGTACGCCGCCGAGCAGCTGGGGAACGAGCAGATGTAGCGTTTGAGCGTCTCGGTTTTAGCCTCCATTGCTGCGGCATTGACGTTAGAACAGCTGATGCAGGTTCAACAACGTTTCCCGAAACACGCTTTCTGTTTTGACACCGGTACTTCCCACAATCCTCTGCAACATGACGCCACAACCTGGAAATGACGTCTTCTCTCCGCTACCCATCGGCCCTCTGATGTAAAGGACGTGTTGATACATACTCTTGTACAGTAGGTGGCGGTACGCACCCAAAACATGCCATTACATTACATTCATAAGAAGAAGATTGGAGAGTGTACTTGGAAAGACAAAAATGCAAAGTACATAATCTTTTAAATGATTATTTTAAAAAAATAAGAGAGAGAGTTTAGTTTGTTTAATACGGAAGTGTATTGCATTCACAAAATAATTTATTTTTTGGTTTGTTTTTTGAATATTTACTTATTTGTATTTACTTTATGTCCTATGTTTATA